TCCCATAAAACCGGGATCCGTTCATTCCCGTAAAATCGAGATCCGTTCATTCCCTCAATTCCTTCCCATAAAACCGGCAGAGGGGAGGGGCGGGAGAGAATTCCCACGTCCTGCCTGGCAGCCGAAGGCGCGGGGTGACACCTAGCGGCATTTTCCATGGATTTGGGGACCGGGACAAGCCCTGACCCCGCTCCCGTCCCCTCCATGCCCGGAGGCGGCTCGGGATGAGCCCGGGCCGGGCTCAGCTGCGCTCGGATCCCGGGAATGATCCCACTGGGAATGGCGGCAGCGCCGGGATGGGGGCAGCTGGAAGGCAGCGGTCACCCCCCGGTCACTGCCTGGTCACCCTCTGGTCACCCCCTGGTCACCCCTGGTCACCCCCTGGTCACCCTCTGGTCACTCCTGGTCACCCTCTGGTCACTCCTGGTCACTCCCAGTCACTCCTGGTCATTCCTGGTCACCCCCTGGTCACTCCTGGTCACTCCCTGGTCACCCCTGGTCCCTCTCAATCCCCCCTGGTCATTCCTGGTCACTCCTGGTCACTCCCTGGTCACCCCTCGGTCACCCCTGGTCACTCCCTGGTCACCCCTGGTCACTCTCAATCGCCCCTGGTCATTCTTGGTCACTTCTGGTCACTCCCGGTCATTCCTGGTCACTCCTGGTCACTCCTGATCAGTTCCAGTCACTCTTGGTTACTCCTGGTCGCCCCCCAGGACAGGGAAAGGGTTGAGTCTGATCCCAAATTTTCCCCATCCACGGGAACTCACCTGCGCGTTCCCGATCCCGAATCCCAAATTTTCCCCCCATCCACAAGGCCTCAAGTTCCAATCCCTGATCTTGAATCCCAAATTTTGGTGCTTTATCCCAAATTTTCCCCATCCATATTCACCTACAAATCCAGGATGCTTCATCCCAAATTTTGGTGTTTGCTTCATCCCAAATTTTGGTGCTTCATCCCAAATTTTCCTCCATCCAGAGGGATTCACCTGCACATTCCCGGGATAAAACCTACCCGGGAAAAGCTGGAATTCCGTCCTTATTTCCAGGAATTCCAGGGATAAACCCTCTCCATTCCTTTTCCCATAAATCCCGGGAATGTGGAGGCTGCCAGGGCCAGAATTCCCGGGATTTCTGGGATATTCCAGAGTTTCCTTTGGAATTCCTCACCAGGAACATCGGCGGCCCAGGGTGGGACAATTCCAAAGGATCCGGGAAAACCGAGAGGGAATTTGGGATGAGAGCCTTGGGAATTTCCTGGGATGGGCCATGGGTGGGAAAATTAATTAATTTAATCAATGTAATAAAATGAATTCATTTATTAATGGAATAAAGCAATTAATAAATAAGGAAATTCCTCAATTCTAAATTAATTCTAAATTAATTCTGAATTATTAAATCAAGAGGTGGATTAGTGATAAATTAATAAATCAGGGGAAGAAATTAATTATCAATTAATAAATTAACATATATATATTTTATATTTTATATTTTAAAATAGAAATTTAAAATTTTTGTGGTTTTGTATTTTACATTTCACAGTTTGCATTCTGCATTTTAATTTTAAATTTTACTCTTTTTACTTTCTCTTTTATATTTTAATTTTCATATTATTTTATTTTACATTTTGCACTTTAAATTTTTTATTTTTTACTTCGTATTTTTAATTTTTATATTTTATACTTTACATTTTTCTTTTAATTTTTATATTTTGTGGTTTGTACTTTATTTTTCACATTTTTTAAGTTATATTTTAATTTTTATCATTTACTTTTTGCATTTTATATTTTTATTTTTTCATTCTCTATCCTACCTCGATTCCATCCACCCACACCCACCCCTGACGGTAGATTCGGGAATTTTTACATGGAAAAAGCGGGAACAACAGAGAAACTGTGGGAATGAAACCAATCCCAATTATCCAAAACATCCCCGGAAAGGCTGAAATCCCAGAAATCCCAGAAAACCCGGAAATCCCAGAAATCCCGGAAATCCCGGAAATCCCGGAAATCCCGAACATCCCGGAAATCCTGGAAATCCCGGAAATCCTGGAAATCCCAGAAACCCCGGAAATCCTGGAAATCCCGGAAATCCTGGAAATCCCCAACATCCCGGAAATCCTGGAAATCCCGGAAATCCCAAAAAACCCCAACATCCCGGAAATCCTGGAAATCCCGGAAATCCCGGAAATCCCAGAAATCCCGGAAATCCTGGAAATCCCGGAAATCCCGGAAATTCCGGAAATCCCAAAAATCCCCAACATCCCGGAAATCCTGGAAATCCCAGAAATCCCAGAAATCCCCGAAATCCCGGAAATCCCCGGGCTCCTTTTCCCTGTGCTGATCCCAAATCCCGGCGGGAATTCTGCCCCTTGGGAATCCACAGAATTCCCATTCCTGGAATTCCCAACCCCTTCCCACAGATCCCAAACAAATCCC